ATCGCGCGTCGCTGGGAGGCCAAAGGCGCTGAGCTTCTGGCTCTCAAGCCTGGCTTGTGTCGGTTGCGATGTTCAATTCAATTGTATCGAAGTAATGGTGAGCTTGTTAACTTACTTTCAAGAACTGGAGGTTTGCAAGCCTGGCTTGTGCCGATTGTGAAGTTCAGATCTATTGCGTTGAAGTAATATTGAGCTTGTTAACTTACTTTCAAGAACTGGAGGCTTCCAAGCCTGGCTTGTGCCGATTGTGAAGTTCAATTGTATCGAAGTAATGTTGAGCTTGTTAACTTACTTTCAAGAATTGGAGGTTTGCAAGCCTGGCTTTTGCCGATTGTGAAGTTCAATTGTATCGAAGTAATGTTGAGCTTGTTTACTTATTTTCAAGAACTGATGGATTGCAAGCGTGGCTTGTGTCGGTTGTGAAGTTAAGTTCAATTGTATCGAAGTAATGTTGAGCTTGTTTACTACTTTCAAGGACTGGAGGTTTGCAAGACTGGCTTGTGCCTTTTGTGAAGTTCAGATCTATTGCGTTGAAGTAATAGAGCTTTTTTAATTAATTTCGAGAATACAGGTTTTAAAGCCTAGTTTATACCGCTTGTGAAGATCAGTTCAATTGCATTGAAGTAATGTTGAGCTTGTTGGCTTACTTTCAAAAACCGGAGGCTTGCAAGACGGGCCTGTCAAATTCCAATCCAATAATTTGGGCTGGTTTGCTATCTTTCGGAAAAACTGGAGACTGGCAAGCCTGCATTGCGTTCTTGTCTCCGTCCTGTTGATCCCACAAGTTGTTACGCTATGGGGAGGTTGAGCCAGATTTTGCAATCAGTACAAGCCACGCTTGCAAACCTCATTTCCCATCTTTCATTCTAAAAGTACTTTAATCTGATGTATATAACAAGTGAGAACAAAGAGTACTTTATTCCTTGTCCTTGTCCCGAGACGTTTGCCGAAGACATTAAAAACTCCAAATTAGCAAACGAATACCGAAAATCATTTAATATTCCATGTAAGCCATGTGGGGCCAAGAACAGAGATTGCCACTGGCACGAAAGTACCAATTTAATCTGCTTGCATTCTGAAAGTTGCAGCTACAATGCTGAAAAGCTTAAACGAATCATAGTTGGAATACATTTTTTTATTAATATTTATTAAAAGTCAACCTTTACGAAACAATTAAGTCACGTAATAAGAATTGCTAGAACTATGGCATATTACTCGTATTTACTTCTATCAACAAATGTAGCAAAGTTTCAATCATAAGCTGATCATTACGAACTTTGTTTACCCTCAACAACTTCCCGAATCATTAATAGATTTCCATTAGAAAAATATTTAATTCAATTTCCTAACCCCAAATAAGTCAATTACTAATAAGGACAAACAATAAACGAAAAACAAACATATGTACTAGAGAGGAATTAAGCATTAATGAGGAACATGATTCGTCTGAGACGTCCTGAAACGTCTTTGCTGCTATTTTTAAGGGAATTAATATTATCTCATTCTAAACTTAAGATTGTATTGGATTTTTTGTTTTTGTTTTTAAAATTGACATTTGAATTGTAGCATTTCTGCGTATGTTGCAATGCGCCAATCAATAAATAAATAAAAAATATCATAGTGAATCGTGATCTAGTCTGTCCGGGTGACGCCGCGTCGAAAGCTGTTTTCCCGACATTTCGACCATCCTGTCGTGGTCGTCCTCAGGGCTGGTACGCTGACTCTGGCCGCGGAAGCCTACGACTTCATCATAGTGAATCAATCGGGCAATACAAAAATAGTCTTGTTCACAAGTATGAGAAACTTGTATGGCTTTAAAAAATTCTCTAAAATCAGCAATTCTTCATTTCAAACAAAGTCATATACAAATCGTGCCAATGATTAATTATGCTTAAATCGCAGTCCACAGTCTATAGATAATAACTGCAAAAATTCACTCTTTTTTGCGATCTACCTCGCCGTACTTTATCACTATGGATAGAAGAAAGAATTAAAAGCAACATTTTTATTGTGTATACGCACAAATCAATAGCTTTTTTAATTTCAATATTTATGTGTACTGACGCAATTGAGGTTATTAAACAAGTATATTTTTCTTGTAATTGTTTTAAACCAACAATATTCTTTTAGTTTCACCACGAATAATAAATTACGTGGTTCTGCCTTTCATCACTAAAATACGGAAACTTTTCTTGTACGTTTCATTATTGTTCTAGTATTTTAAACAGACATTTGGTGTTGGTCAAACACATTGCACACTCTTAGTGCGCCCCACGCAGAAACATTCCCGTTAGCTTACGTTTCGCTTCGTGAGGAAACATACCTGTTCTCTTCACCAACGGTACACGCGAGTGGTTCAAGTCTGACAATGAAAAAATGTACGGACATCAAATATTTTATTTGAAACGCAATAATTAATTATATTTACCAATACTCTATTCATTACATCAAACTAAACGTATTTCTTTATTTAAGCAATCGCGGTCACCACCATGTGACGTTGTGCACATTGCGTGGGTTGCATAAGCTGACGTCGAAGGCTGGATGCCTTCTTGAATGACCTTCTCGACATACTTCGGAAAATATTCGCCGAGTGTCTTCAGGTGACACGGTAATGACGAAGCATGGCCATATCAGGATTTCAAAGAAGACGCCGATATAAAGACATTTGTAAATGTTTATGAAGCGATTTTCTACGTCAGAGCTAATTTTCTAAGGAGTTTCAAGGCAACGTTTATGTCTTAAGCAATTCTGACGACTGTTGGAAGAGCAGACAGCTGTGATAGATAGTTATCGAACCGACATACTACACAGAATCGTCTGAGCAAATGATACGTGGCATCTCGTTAAAGATAATTGTCTTTTCAATTATGTAAATACTTTAAAATACTCGCAAATTTATATAAAATATCTAAAAATTGAACACCAAGAAAAAGTTCATTAAATACACGTACGAAAATATTAAACGAACGTAAAATACGAATCTCCACAAAGTTTTTTCAAATGTTGAGTAACAGAGTTACACCAGTTTAAACTTTAATTATGACTAAGTTCAATTTTCTTCAGCTGTTTATTATACTACATCTTGATGGGCCTTTAAAATATTGTAATTACACTATTTGTTTTAGAAATACTTAGCTACAAATAGCCCATTACATCTTCTCAAATGTCTTCTAAATATATCTTAACGCCAACAAATTAGGAGAGCCCATCTTAACTAAATTTACTAATTAACAAATACTCTCCAATCTTCCCTTCTTGATGAAGCACTAACTATAACTTCCTTAAATGGAAGATCATGTCGGAAGATTGAAATTAGTTACTTGTTTATTAGAGACCACTTCTTCCTTATCTTCTAATTCTTTCTACACGAAACTACCACAAATGGTTTTAACACCCGTAAATAAGCAATTCTCCTCAGAAAATAGACAGATTTTGCCGATCTTTCTAGGTACATTTCCGAACGAAACATTTTCCAGTTATTTACAAGTTGGCTGAAATCCTCACGAAGAAATGGACCATTTAAGGGATGGCGTGAGGCGTCGATGGACTCGGAAATCACATCTGCGCATCCGAACTGCGCATCCGTTTCTGCGCTTCGTCCCTCCGCACAGCTGCGCCACTCGCAGCGTGCAGGCACGCAGCCCCGCGCCGCGCCGCGCAGCGCTGCGCGTGCATCTGGTGAGGATGCACAGCACGTAAATGGAAATGTATGATTTTATAACGTGCCCTCATGAACGTGGATCGTTTGAGAAACACACCCAGATTGGCCTGCCCCTTCATAAGAGTTGCTCCCCTGCTTTCCTCGCGAGGAAAAAACTGTTTGATTTATAAATTCGGGGTCACTGCGCTACAGAATTCTTAGCATGTACTCGAGGATAATAGCTTTTTTTTTTAAGGAATTGTTAGCACGTGGTGAACAAATTAAGGGTTGTCGCTCAATTAACTTTCAATTCAATGTGATTATATTCGTTCGGTATTCATGATTGAGATCTTTAAAGTTCCTCCCGCACGTGTCGACCCTCCTAAATTTACAACGCGCGAACGTTTAATATTTCAATGTTTCAAAATTTTATTTTAAGAAAGTACGCGACTGAAATATTTTAACAACATGAAATACACGAACAGTGAACAATTCTGGTACTTGTAGTAAGGGATAAGTGGCTATTCACGATCAATTTTGTGTGATGCGGAAACTATCCAAAATGTCTACTTCTGAAACGAAATGAAATGAAGTCATAAACGAAAATTGACAACAAGGATATTACCTGTTGCTCTCAAGAAATAACTTGACAATTTGATCTGAACAGTGGGAACTAATACTAATAAAAAACATACACAGAAAATTAATATGAACATCCGGACTGGTTCGTAAACTTATAATTTTAAAACAAATCAATGCATTCAATCATGCATAATAAAACGAACAATTATCAGTCGGGTCGGTTGTAATGTAACTAGGCGGGCGATCCGTGTGTTCTTTGATCATCGATTGGAATACGGTCAATGTAGATACCATATTGACCTCATTCCGAAACACAAACGTATCTCGCCAATAAGCAATCGAATGTATCAATAAGTGATTTACGACCAAGTTACTTACCAGTCAGTTAGGCGCAGCAGAAAATGAAATCCACCGGTCTGAGTGGGGAGAGCAGCGTGGCTCCTGCAACAACAGACATAAAACGTTACACGCTGAACTCCACGTCAGGAACATAATGGCGGGGGACAACTCGCGTACGTGCATTCCTTCTGCACACGAGGCAGATGGAAAGAGACACTGTTGAAAATGCATTACTAGAACAATGTGCATTGTTTCTACCGAGGGGAAAGACGTTAATTAACACGTAAATACAAACAGGTGAAACAAATCGTATTTTACTGTGTGCAGAACTTTCGAACCGAATTTTTCTCTAATACGAAAATAAAGTAATCAACAGACGTGTCCAAACTTCTGCTTTCAATCAGTAACCAATAGAAGGCCCAACTCTTCGGCTAGTTCAAAACATTAACAATTCAATGTATCATCAAAATATTTCTTTAGCAAGAACGTATTTCAAAATTTTATTTCAATTTGCCTCGGAAAAATACACATTTGTGTTGTACTACTGTTATTCGAAATAGAGAATACGTTAACTTCAGAAAGATTGTATTTGATATAAAGAAATGCAAACGGATTTGAACTCAGTCTAAATATAAGAGAGAAATGAACATAAAATAAAGGCAACTTCCATTTTTATTACTTTGCTCATTACACAATTTAGATATTCTATAAACCGTGAAAACCATCAAAAACACACGCACAGCGGTCAGCAAGAATCCAATTAAATCTGTACTGCTCCTAGTCCCCTTTTCTATCACAACACAAAAGTTTGGCATAGCAATTACGTGCTTTCAGCCCACAAGAAATACTGTGTAACACATCTTTGAGGCATTCCCCTCTCTAGAATGCAGAATCACTAATAGGGGAAGTCGCTTTGATCCGAACACGACGGCCTCGTTGATTCCCTGCTAAACTTAAAATGTCGGAGCTTAAAACGAATTACACCGCCAGACCGTTTCCGCTGACCCTCTCTCCCTGATTCGGACAGTCCCTCGCCTGCCGTTTACTTACAGGGACGCCACCGTCTATCCATCCCCACCCTGCCCTGTCCTGTCCTGCTCTGCTCTGCCCTGCTCTCCTCCGGCCCGCCACGCGCCGCCCCGCGCCGCCCC